CTTTGAGTCCAGACCTTCTGGGATACCACCACACGCCACATTTCTCCAGGCGTGTCCCAGAACGCACAATCCCTTTGGCTGGGTGTGTGGCCCTCTCTGAACCACAACCAGATTTCCCTTCTTTCTTTCGTCTGCTTGCCCGGCCCAATGAAGCAGTTTCCCTACACACTGCGTCACGCTGTCCTTACAACCCCGAGTACCCCTTCCTGCGGACGTGCTCCGTGAGCTTAAGAGGTGTTCGTAAGACCCCCAGATTTGAACTTGCCTCTGCCTGACTCCAAAGCCCAACTTTTTAGCCATTTTGCTAAACCACCTGTGTTTTCTTGACAATGTGCTTTAAGCCACCCCATCCAACAGCACTTTTCAAGTTCTAAGGCCCACACACGGCAGGCGTCCACCCCCCAGAAAGTCCCCCTGTGCTCCCTTCTGCCGGTCTCCTCCCAGCCCCGGGCAGCCTCTGAGCTGCTTTCTGGCCACTACTGAGGAGTTCTGTCTGCTCTGCAACTTCATAAACGCGTTTCCCTGACGACCAATCATGTCGAGCATCTTTTCCTCTTATTTTTTAATCTTTTTTGTGTGTGAAGTGTTCATTATTTTAAAAAGGGTTTTAGAAAAACATATTATTGAATTGCAGGAACTCTCTGCTCATTTTTCAAGTTTTTTTTAATTAAAAATTCTAATTGAATTGTAGGAATTCTTTGTATGTTCTGGATATAAATCCTTTGCCAAATACGTGTGTCACAAATACTTTCTCCCAATCCGCCCTTTGCTTATGTGTTTTCTTAATGATGTGTTTCCAAGGATGGAGGTCTTAAATCTTGACAGAGTCCAATGTATCATTTTTTCCTCTACTGGGTCCTTCGGTGTCCTCTCTAAATCACTGCCTAGCCTAGGTCACAGAGGTCCCTTGTGTTTGCTTTTTTAAGCCTGATTAGAAGTTTTCGGCTTGTATACTTAGCTCTGTGCTCCATCCTGCGTTGACTTTGTGTGAAGTGTGGGATCAGGGTGGGGAGCCTTTTCTTTCTTCTCTTTTCTGGATCACCAGTTGTTCCAGCACCACTGGCTGGAAAGACTCCTTTCTCCATTGGATTGCTTTGGCGTCTTTTTCTTGTTTCTTATTAATAAGAAAGTGTAGATGACTTCAAAGGATTCACTCACTAGATTGGATGCTGTTAAATACAGATTTCAAAGTTCCCTCTATAATAAGGTCAGACACGCACACCTGCATGCTGCTACCCCCTCTCGTCTGGGAGGAAAGGACGCCGCCGTTCCCCACAACCGGTCAGCGGTGCTCTGCGCGCAGCCCTGGGCGGGCCCGTCCTGCCCGCGGGCTTCCCACAGCCCAGGGAGTGGCAGGGGACGCGGCCGGGAGGTGCTGCTTTACAGTGTAACCCACTGATTTCCTGCTCACATGGATCCCTGCAGTTTAACCAGGCTCAAGCACCCTCCCTGATGTCTCCTGTTGAACTCAGTGCGGCCCGGTCTCCCCACGTCCTCCTGAAGCATGAGAACGCCAAGGCCCCTTTGAGGCTTGCGCCTAGAGCTAACACACGTGCACCTGCCGGCCGGTACTTGGAAGGGAAGGCCCTGGAGGGTGCGCCCCATTTTATACCTGAGGCTGCGGGGCGATGCGCTCTCCCCGTGTTCTCATCTGTGGTCCATTCCTGGCAGACACAGGGCAAGGCGGGAAGATGGCGGGCTTTCATCTTGCAGAGAGGGGGCCTTAAGTTCCAGCTCTGTTACCCGCTGACCAGAAGACCCTGGGCCTGGCAGTCCTTGGTTTCATGTTCTTAGCTCCCAAGTGGACGTACCGTGGTTAACTTTCAGATTTTTTGCGAGGCTAAAAGGAGATGCTTAAGAGTTTTACACACGACTCTCTTACCGCTTGCTGAGCCATTCACTCACTCCCTGTAGGGAGGGCAGGGGTCACCACCTCCTCCTGTCACAGTGCAGAGCATTCAGCCTCAGGGCTGCCAAGTGACTTGTCAGGGCGCAGCTGGGTTTAGACCCGGCTCGGCTCAGCCCCGGGCGAGGCCCAGCGCTCCCGAGGCCCCTGCTCCACTAGCCTGAGACCCGCCCCGCACAGGAATGGGCAGGAAAAGGGCCCGAGCAGGGTGGTTGGCCCCATCAGTGTCGCTGGACGTGCCTGTGGCCCCGGCCTTCAAACGGGGCATCTTTTTGTTTGTCTGTTGTTTACTTTTGTAAAAGTCACCTAGAAAACTAGAGCCAACGGGACCTGGAACAAACCACCTCTGAGGGTGGGGGTAACACTTCCTCCCGCCCTGCTGTCCCACCTGCCCTCCTAGGGCCACGCGGTGGCCTCCAGGGCTCTAGACTGCTCAGTTTTGGACTTGGCTGTCCCTCTGGAGCTGCCATTTCCCGCTCTGACTGTGGCCCTCCATCTGACCTGCCGTCTGGAGGTGTCAATCTACTGGCCACTTTGAGCATCGGCCCCTGCGGACGGGTGGGGATGGACGGCCCTGTCTGGGAGCTGTGGACCCGAGTGGCAGTGGTCAGCGTGGAGACTGGACAGCTGACGGGGCAGAGGCCCCTGGATGTCAGGGGGTGGGTAGAGCCAATGGGCGGGCATTTAGAGGCTCCATTGATTGAGTTCACTCATCTCTTCTAGATGAAAAACATAAATGAGCCTCCAGTGTGGAGGGTTTCTGTCCTTACGTCCTAACTGCCTGCCCCCACCACTGGAGCCGGGGGCACTGGGCCACCGTTGAGCAGCCCTGACCGGCTCCAGGACCTCCGAGCCCCAGGGCCCAGTGTGGGGAGTCTGCTCAGTGGGGTCCCGCCTGGCAGGAAGGGGGTAGCAGGGAGGGGACAAAGGCACAATGGCTGCTGAGCCCCACGGCGCTCGCCCCACCCTGCGGCTGTGGTTAGTCACAGAATTTCCACATTCAGAGCAGCCAGTGCCCACTGACCGCAGTCTGGCTGGCATCTTGAGAGGCCTGGCCACAGAGGGTCAGGGTTGATGATGCTGTGCTGGGGGGATGCTGGATCCTCAGCTCCAGGGCCCGGCTGCACCCTCAGCCTGCCACCTCCACACCCTCCACCAAGACATTCGGGGCATATGACCCGAGAGGCGGGGTGACGCCTGGTCCCAGGCCCAGCTCCATAGCCCATAGGTCTGTCCCTGGGGAAGTCACTTTGTCCCTCTGGGCTCGTGTCCTCACGTGCAGGCTGGCTGCTGCCCAGGACCTGCTGCAGTCCTGACGTCCCTTCCAGCCCAATTCCCGTCCGTGGTCACAACAAGGGTCACTCACTGACGGCTTCCCAGATTCCAGGTTTGCTGAGAGCAGCGCGTGTGACGTCCCACTCCCGCTCCACGACCACCCTCTGCGGCAGGCAGATCGCTGTCCCCGCTTCTCAGAGGAGGGAACGGGGCCTACCGAGGGTGGCGGTGAGGGCCCTGGTGTGAGTGACCACACTCCACTTCAGAGGGGGTCACCCTCGCTGAGCTGCAGAGGGCTCTTCATCTGAGGGATTAAACCACCTTTCTTTCCTTTTTCTTCACTCTTTATCCTCCTGCGGGAAACCCATGAAACAGCCCAGGGCGGGGTGTTCCCTAGGCTGCCTGGGAGGCAGGCTCCCCTTTGGCACGAGTGCCGCCACCCGGGGTGGCCGCTGGTTCTCACGGAAACAGAACAGAGGCCCGGGGAGCAGGAGGGAGGCCCAGACCCGGCCACCTGCCGCTGCCTGTTTAGCCGGAAATGACTAATTCGGAGGCAGCAGGCTCCTGGCTGTGCTCCTGGTCAAGGCCCATGACTCCTCCAGGCCTCAGTTTAGAAGACGGCTGATCACACCTCACGGGGCGTTGAGAGGAGCGCTCGGGGGCAGCCCTTGGAATGGCAGCCCCCCGGCCCGGCAGAGCGCCCGCACAAGCCCAGCCCTGGCAGTGTCCGCTGGGGTTCTGAGCCCAGGGGCGGTTCCTCGGTCTTCTGGGTGTCACCCCACGCCCGGCTCATCCGGTGAGAGGATGCCTGTGAGTGCCTACCTGGTCCTGGAGATAAAAGGGACCTCTGGAAATGCAGGTCAAGGCTGGTTCAGGAACCGTCTGCTAGCAAACGCTCCTGGAGCGGAGATGACTCATCACTGTGTCCGCCAGGTCAGATCCAGCCTCCTGAGGAGCAGCACCCGTGGCCCCAGGACCCGGGACAGTGACTCGGCCGGGCGGTGGTGCGGTCTCAACTCCCCTGAAAATCCAAGGGAAAAGTCCTGGTGGGCAACAGAGTGAAAGGACACTGAAGCCATCCCTTCCCGCTGGAGAGTAGCTGTGCACCCCCGCACCGCCGGCTGCTCATGGCCGCCCTCGTCGAATGTTCACCCCGTCACTCACGGTCCTCCACCAGCCACCAGCATCACACCAGGGAGGGGATCTGATCATGAAAACTGGCCAGGAGTGAAGCGGCAGACTACAGAGCACCCGGGATGGGAAAAGGGGAACATCAAAGCCCCTCTTCCTCCTCAAAGGTCGCCTCGGAAAGCAGAGGCCTCCCGTTAGGACACAAGACCCTCCCGGGCTTCAGGGACCTGGCCCCAGCCTCCCAGCCTCTCCCTCCTCTCTGGGGGCAGAAAGCAGCCGCGCCCAGGCCCCGGGGCCGGAGGCCTGGCTCCAAGCCCCGGCTGGTGAAAAGCCAACAGGCGCCGCCCGCTCAGAGATGTGATCCTTCCACCATTTGTGCCCTGTACACAACCTGCCCCTTGCACAACAGAAAAAGAAGAGGCAAGGAGAAAGAAATGGAAGTTGATTTGGAAAAAGCTTCTAGGATCTGGAGTTTCCGATGTCCCTCTGTGTGGCTTTGCTCATTACACAGGTGGAGGAGCCTGTCAGGTGAGAAATCATGCCCAGTGTTTATACTTTTATGGAATCCAGGGACCAATTAAGCACAGAGCGCCAACGGGCAAAGCCCTTCTGAAAGAACTAGAAGGTAACTCTTGTGTTACTGTTCCTTTTCCCTCGCTTTTTCTAAATAAAAGACAAATGCTATGTCAACAGTTTCTCAAGAGCAATTCTTTATTTTCTGAAAGTCCTAAAACTGACCCATTTATCACAAGACGACTGATGCCTCCATCCATAAACAATATCTTTTTCTCTTTCATTCGGCAAATCCGGAGCCCCGGGAGGACCGGGGCTGGAGGAGGCAGGGACGTCAAAACCTGCCCTCCACACCCAGCAGCCGCACGGCTGCCTCCTGCACAGCCTGGTGGATGCGCCCAACCTCTCTCTGGGACAGGGTGCGCTCCATGTGGCGGTAGGTGATGCGGTAGCAGTGGCTGGTCCTGTGTGTCCTGGAGGACGGGAGAGAAAGGCAGGTGAGTGAGGGACAGGTGTGCCACCCGTGAGAGCCCAGGACAGACCACCGACGTGGCACTACAGAGACAGCACGGTCCTGCGTGTGTTCCTCACAGACTTGGGGTGGGGGAGGCAGAAGCCGATTAGACTAATTGAGGCTGCATAATCGAGGTCTCCGTGGACTGGCTGCATCCACGTCCCTGGGACGGAAGCTTCTCCCAGATCTGAAATCCTGGGCCAGCCCATGTTATTCCACTTCGCTCTTCTCGTGCCCAGGGCAACGTCTAGTATACAGCAGGTGCTGCATAAAAACCACTGAACCAGTGCTAACACGATCACCGAACCCCTGGGTGGGAACCTGCTTTCAGGCCTCGCAGAGGCTAGCCAGCCTTGCACAGCCCTGCCGGGTTACTGCGGCCCCTGCCCGTGTTCAGCCGTGGTCTTCTCTTCTCTTCCTGCCCCTGCCTGTGACAGTGATGGAGCCAGATGCAATCAACGAGGACACAGCAGAGGCGAGCAGCGGGCAGTAAACACCAGGGCGCCCCAAGCCCTCAGCCAACATGAGCCTCATCCCCTCCCACAGCCAAGGGACAGCGCAGAAGCCACAGGGCAGGCCCTGGGGCCAGTGATCCAGTCCACACCCAGCGGTTTCCTCTCGGGCAGCCCTGGCTGGTTGCAGCACGGAGCCTCAGTTCCCTCACCTACAAGAAGGTGGCTAAGAGCCGTGTCTACCACAGAGGACGGCTCAAAGCAGAACCAAAGGGTGAAGCACACAGAGCGCATGGCCTAGAGCCTGGCGCACCGTGAGAGCTCGGAAAGCGGGGCCTCTTCCTGTGCGTGTGCATGTGTTTTAATGGAGGCACTGGGGACTGACCCCAGGACTGGTGCGTGCTAAGCACGCGCTCTACCACTGAGTACACCCTCCCTCTGTGGATCTAAATGAGGTGAGCGGGGAACCCGCGGGAGCAGCAGCGAGCTGGCAGCCCAGGCCGTGCTTCGGTTCCCGGGAGTGAAGCCTCCCGCAGAGCCCAGGCCCCCGGGGACAGGGCACCGTGCCCGATGCACAGGCTGCGCCGTGCCTCAAGGTGCTTCCCCAGCAGGTACGCCGTGTGCTTCAGGCAGACCAGACGGGCCTCCTGGGCGTGCTGGGGTCCTGTGGGAACAGTGTCCCCTGCAGAGGTGGAGCCCCGCCGGGCCCTGCTGCTCTGGCCTCTCGTGGTGGCGGGAGGCCCTGGCGCGGAGGAAGGGCCTCTCCCATGCGGCTCCATCAAGGACGGACGCTGCAACACCCCGGGGTCCGAGAGACGGAGGACTCCAGGGGAGGAGAAATTAGTTCAGGAGCAAGAAAAAGGGGGGAGGGGCTGAAGGTGGCTTGATGGTGACGCAAACATCCACTAGACAGGGTCTCGGGGCCTCGGTGGCCTGCAGGTGGTGACTGAGCAAGGCTACGAGGGTGGCTTCCTGCAGGGGAGGCGCCGCCCCCCAGCCCGGCGGGAGTGCGCCCTCCTAACCCCCTCCCCCTGACGCACACAGGGCCCGAGGGCAGCGGGGCTTCGGGGCCCCGACACCGGTCCTGATTCTCAGTTTCCTCCCCACTGAAAGAGGTAACTGACCCCATCGGCCTTTCCCAACTGCTACGGAGACACATTCAGAAGGTGGCGGGGCTCTGAACCACAGTGGGCCGCGTGAGGTGACAGGGTGCTGATGACAGTCGCATTCTGTGTTTCTCGGCGGTTCCCCCAGGCCTCTCTGGGCTGATGAGCTGGTGACACAGCCCGGCCCTCTGAAGGCGGAGGCCTCCTGAGGTGAAGGGAAGGGTGCAGCTCCTCGTTTCTGAGGGCTGCACGGAAGGCCGCTCTAAGGGTTCCTGGGATTCAAACAGTTTTTACAAAACACTGTGATGAGTTGGGTGCCAGTGAATCATAAACATATGGATTAATTTGAAAAATTGAGAGAAACAGTATTTGGCAGAATACATGGTGGTAATTCAGTGATTCAACTGAAAATCAACCAGGTCTGCCTTTTCCCACCGTCGCTGGTGAGAGTGCGCGGGGGGGTTCCTTTTGTTTGTTTTCTAGAAACTTCTGTTTGGAGCTTTCCGATGGGGGACGTACCCCTGTCCTCCTTTTGCAGTCGGGGACCGGAAGCCGTGGAGCTGAGCTCGCTCTGAGCAGAGGACCAAGCCTCTCACCCTGAGGAGTGGTCCAGCCGCAGGAAGCCCAGGGCTGAGGCTTTTGCAGCTGATGGTGGAACAGGTGAGGCGATGGGTCCCTCTAAGGGACGGCAGCCCCAAGTGTCTGGGTCAGGGCCCTTTTGATTCTTTTATACCCTCCAACTTGGCCTCTTTTAGCCCAGAAGCTTCTCAGTCTTCCCTCTGCCACGGGCCCCGCTGTCTGAGAAACAGCAGTGAACACGCACGCTGCGCCCGTCCACACTGCGCGCTGTTCCGGGTCCTGCACGCACGTGAACCCATTTAAGCAGCCCAGCCCTGCTGGGCAGACAGCCCCACCTTCCCGGCACACACACGAGGAAACCAGGCAGAGAGAGCAGAAGTCACTCGGCCACGTTCGCACAGCTAACAAGTGGCAGGGCTGGATCTGAAGCCAGCAACCTGGTGGGAACGTGCAACAGTGCAGCTGCCGTGGAGAGCAGCCTGGTGGTCCCTCAAGAACTTAAGCCGAGTTACCGCAGGACCCGGCAATCCCGCTCCGGGGGGCAGACCCACAAGAACTGGAAGCAGGTGTTCAAACAAAACCTCGAACAAGAATTTGCACAGCAGCGTACTCGCAACAGCCGGAGATGGGCATGTCCTTCTGTGGGTGAACGGACAAACACAACGTAGTGTGTCCCAGCACGGAACGGAACAATGGAGCATTACTCAGTCATCAGAAGAAGGGAGGTACTTATACAGGGTGCATCCCGGATGCATCTCCAACACGCTGACAGGAGCCAGACACAGCAGACGACACCTGGTGTGGGTCCACGTCCGTGAAGAGTCCCGAGCAGGGGAACCGGTACCGACGGCCAGCAGACCGGTGGAGGCCAGGGCCAAGGGAGCAGAAACACTCACGTGAAAAGACACCTGCACCCTAATGTGCACGGCAGCATTATGGACGAGAGGCAAGATGTGGAAGCAGCCTAAGCGTCCACGGACAGGTGACTGGCTAGAGAAGACGTGCTTACACACAACGGAGCTGCGCTCGGCCGTGAGAAGGAACGAGACCCTGCCGTTCGCGACGTGCATGGGCCTGGAGGGCGTTACTCTTAGCGAAGTGGGTGGGACAGAGAAACACAAATACTCCGTTATCACTTCTATGTGGAATTTAAAAAATAAAACAGATGAACAAGCGTCACAAAACAGAAACAGACTCATACAAAGAACAAACTAGCCGGTGCTGGAGGGGAGGAGGTGGGGGAGGGGCAAGGTGGGTGGGAGGGACTAAGAGGTGCAACCACGAGGCGTAAAACAGGCGAGCTGTAAGGACGCAGCGCACCGCGCAGGGAGTGCAGCCACTCCTCTGCGCTCACCCTGCGTGGAGTGCAACCTGCAAAAAGCACTGAGCTGTGTCGTGCACCTGGAACTAGCACCACCTTGTCATCAACTGTACGTCGATGATGAAGAGGCACCGTGAAGCCCACTGCCGCTCCCCAGGCAGCAGTGTACCCATGACAGACCTTCTGAAGGGACAGGGGCCATCAGGCATCCCTGGAGAGAAGGAACAGCGGGTCAGAGCGCTGGCGAGGCCGTGGCACCCCACCTCCACATCTGGCCACGTGGCTGACCCTGGCTGGCGCACGGGCTCCAGACTTGAGGTCACACCCTCCCTAGACGCAGCCAACACCCAGCTCCTGCAACGCCTGAGATGTCTGCATTTCCCTCGGTGACCAGAGCAGCTCCTTCGTGTTCCCGGGTGGGGGTGGTGCACGGACGGGGCACCTCCCAGAATGGGTCCCTGTGCCCACTGTCCCTGCAGAGGCCACCCGCCAGGCAGGGCTTCCTCCAACTGTCGCGGGGCGGGTTCTGTTTTCAGAGTAATGGGCAGAGGGACCCCCCATCGGCTTTTGCCCGTGGGATGCCTGATGCCCAGCTGGCCGCGCCCCGGCAGGTGCAGGTGCTCTCGTGGGTGGCCTGACTCCAGACAGGGCACAGCGGGATGGGAAGGGGATCAGAAGCGGGCTGGCTACAGAGGACGCGGGGTGTGGGGTAGGGGAGAAGCCAGATCTTGCACCTGGAGCCCTGGGTTCCACCCCCTCCTCCGTCCTTTGCTGTCTGTGAGACCTGAGGATGGCGCCTGCTTCCCAGACTGGTGCTG